CTTGATTGTTATTGCAACAACGCTGTGTCCTATTTCGGGTTGAGAGGCTCGGGACTCAAAGTGCGGCGACAGCCTACGAGGTATCATGGCTAGATGTGGGAGGCTTGAAGGTTTAGGTTAGTCTCAGAAGGCATGGGGACCTTGGTGGCAGGGAGAAGGTCGATAAAGCGAGCCCAAACATGTCAAAGGTTCTGGAGCAGCCCCAACCGCCCCAAGCCTAACTACCAAAGCCGGAAGCCTAGAAATGTGGTTTGGGGTTCAAGGCTCCGAGTTTTTGTTTTGATGACCCAAAATGGTGGGGTCCTGGAGGAATCGAGTAAAGGCCATGATCCCCCTGTCCGGGTTTGGGGTTTCGCATTCGGGCCCACTATAGGCACTGGGTTTAGGGTCTCGCATCTAGATTTTTTGGATTTTTTCGGTTTTTTTGCGCTCTCTCTCCGCCTCTCTGCCTCTCTCTTGTTTGCCTCTCTTTCTCGCTCGCTCTTTCGGGCTTGGGCTCATTTTGGGCTTCGATTGCTCAGACCATACACATGCTGTGAAGTGTGCGTGCTCCCCGAAGCTGACATAAAGCTGTAAAGGGGATCCAACAGAGACGAGAGTTTCTCAGAATCCTGAGAGCTTCACGAAAGCTTTGGGGAATTGCCGGCATTTTGGAGGATGTCCAAACTTCCCAAGGCTATCAAGGTAGCTGATTTTTTTTTCGGTTTAGGGTGTTAGGGCGTTGGGGTCTACTCGTGGGTCTCACGAGGTGAAGTTCGGATTATATATGAGGCATCTCAATTTGAGAGTTTGCCGATTTGGCTGCTCTTCCCGGTTCTTCTCTGTTCTGGGGTCACATCCGCGTAAGGAAGGCATTACTCTGAAATGAACTCCAACTAGGAACAAACTGTACTTCGTCATAACCCTGAACCTTAAGCCCTGGCCCTGCAAACCCCAAGTTCACAAAAACCGTATGCCTTAAATTCTAAACCTACAAACCCCAAATCCGTACCCCAAATTTACCCTAAACATCTCAACCCTAAAACATAACCTGAAGCCCGAAACCGGCGAAACCTACAAACCCTGAACTGATAAACAAAACCCTCCGCTCATATTGCCTGGGCTCCAACTGCGGCTGTTTTGGGGAGAGACTACAGCCTCATTTTCCGAGCTCGTGAACCCCCTGCGACCCGCAGATTCAGCTGATATGCCACCCGGCTTTGGTTGTAGGATTGTATTGTGGTCGTAGGGTTCAGGGCTGCCTGTAGCTGTCATCTTGATACCCGATCAACCCAACAATCGCTCTTTAAGGCCCCCCGAACCTCAAACCTGTTAGTTTAGGGTTTGGGGTTTAGGGTTTGGGGTTTAGGGTTTAGGGTTTGGGGTTCAGGGTCTAGGGTTTCAGGGTCTCGGGGTTAGGGTTGACGATTCTGAAGCTCTATCCCATGTTTGAGCCAACCGGTGTCATGCGGCTCGGATCTAATTTCCGCCACTGGTGTACAGACTCCGGTCTTGCAAACGAATCTGCATTCAGCATTGTCAAACTACGATTTCGCCACCGGACTTGGCTATCTGACTTGCGCTTTAGAGTTTAGAGGATTTATAGGAGCCCTTACACAGGGCTCTACACCATGAAGCCCGTTGGCTTGGTCCAATGACTTGCCACTTGGGAAGATACGGTTGATGATATAAATCCCTGCATTGCCCATAATACGGTATATCCCATCATTCCCACAGTTTAGGGTCCTTAAAGTGATTTATATCATCAACAGTGGTTCGGGCCTAGGGCCCAAAATCCTCAGTCCTAAACCAGCCAAAGCCTTAAGAACCTAAAACCCGGATCAATCTGATATCGGTGTGCAGCTTTTTCAGATTGTGTAGGTATGTGGCTGTTCGTGCGCTCTTGTTTATTCCTTTCTTTGCCCTTGTGTTTCTCCCTCTCTGACTCAGTTTCTCGCTCTCTCCCGCTCTCCCAATTGGCGCGGGTTCCCTTATTGTCATTGTCGTGGGACTTCCAGCAGTCTGGCTCCCACCGTCGGGTCCCAACGACTTTCTATGGATTCTATGCGCAAGCTCAGACCACGGTCTCCGTCCAGGCAGTACGGTTGAAGGTTGGGCTGCCAGAGGTTTAGGGCTGGGTGGAAGAGGCTGAGGTAAGCGAAGTTTCAGTACACTTTCTTGATGGGTTCTCAGTAGCTGAGCAGGTAACCTTTAACCTTTTTGGGCTTATATAACCCTACCATAGTTGAAAGGTTAACCTTTTTTGGGCTAGGGTACTCGGCCCCGAAGGGTTTGACTGCCTTTGTAAGGTTCACCTGCTGCGTTGCGGAGTGCCTCGGCTGTGCCAGCCAGGCAGCTGTAGAACGTCAAATCGCCGAAGGCCCAAGCCAGACCCGAAGTGAAGAGACATTCAGATAGATAGGTCCTTGCCCTAAACCCTAAACCCTAAACCCAGATAGATAGATAGATAGATAGATCCTTGAACAGCTAGATCGATAGGCTGATGGCTCGAACCTGTGTTTGGGATAATGCCATGGTAGGCATGGTAGGGCGCTGTTGCATCATAACATGTATTTGTGCAAGAACCGTTTAAGATGCCTAGTAGCTGTGCTGCTGCCTGCCCAGTTATGCCTCTGAGACCCAGACAGCAAATCGGCTTTGGGGGAAGTTTAGTTTAAAAGCTGAAGCAGGTTGTCCTATAGGGTTTTAAAGTTTGGGAATAGTCAGCCTCCCCCCCGCACTGGCTTATGACTCTGGGCTTACAGGGTCGCTGATGAAACTTCCGGTGTGATGGGCAAGACGGAGAAGGATAGGGGAATCCTCCGTTCATCGCAAGCCCGTGCAACGGCTTATGTCAATGCCCGAAATAAGATGCAACATACCGTAGGAGCATGAAGAATCAACCGGCCATCCCTTACTATGAGCAGAATAGATAGAAAGATAGATATAGATATAGATGTAGATATAAATAGAATAAGTGTGTGTGTATGTATATATATATATATATATATATATCTGTGTGCGTGTGTGTGTGTGTGTGTGTGCGCGTGCGCGTGCGCGTGACACTTCGTAGTTAGTGATGTGCTAGCCACAGCATCACCACCCAACTGCAGTCTGGCCGGCAAAGCACGCATGTCTGTAGGAAGTCGAAGCAGCAGGTGATCGAGTGTAAAGCCAGCAATGAAATTTTCACAACTTCGCTCTTGCCAAAGGCATGGGGTGCCGTGTGCTGCAAAGTTGGGAATTCGAGGGCGAGGGCTGGGTTGTGGGGTTGTGATATTTGTTGTAGGTCTGGGGAGCTCTAGTGAACTTTAGCGGCCCTTCGTACCCTTCCTGCGGAGCAGTCCACAGCGCTGCAGCCCACAGACGGCCGGCCACAATCCTGAAGCCCAAGTATCGAATCCAAATTCAGCCCTAGAGCCAAACGCCTTAAACCATAAAATCCAAAAAGCCCCCGGTGTCCTTCAGCCCCAAGCTTCCCAAGCAAGGTCCGAGACTGTGTTCGAGGAGGTCACCCCCATACCCGTCGCCACAGAGCCCCCCGCCGAGAAGAAGGAGCGACCTGCGCAGGCACAGACAGAGAGATGGAGATGTACAGGGCTACAGGGTTTAGGCATTAGGCTTTGGGCTTTAGGCTTTAGGCTTTGGGCTTTATAGGGTTTTAGGGTTTAGGATACGGACATGAATGATAGGAACAGTACGTCAGTCTCTTTGTGGCGGTTGTCATTGTGATCAAAGGGTCGTGTATGTGAATATGTAGTAGCAAACCCGGCTATCACTCTAATGCCGCCGCTACCAGCGGTTGTGTAGCAGCAGTCACAGCAAGGTGGCAAACCACAAGCGACTACAAGAATCCGTGAGTGCTGATAATAGAACCAGGTCTTCTTTGCATACAGGTATGCTTTTGTCGCCGCCAGTGGTTAGCTCTGTGTACAGCTGGCTGCCAAAGACAACTGACGAATTTCCTTGTGTTATGCCCTCCATCTACACTATGCAGGCGCATTCCATTGTTGCAATGCACAAGCTTTCTCAGGGCTCACCGGAACCATCTGCTGTCAAGCAGATTGCCAGCTCTGCGGCAAAGCTGGTCGTCTTGAAAGGAAGAAGATCGAGACTACTAGTGCGAACAGTAACGATGATATCGAGCGTAGAATTGGTGCCAGGACTGTATTTATCAGTAGAGCCATCGTCCAGGTCACAATGATAGCTCGTGGAGATGACTGGTTAGAGTAGCTTGCTAGCATACGGAAGCGACATCATCGTAGGAGTCCGCAAGCAACGGGAAAGAGTCAATTTTACAGCACTCCCACAGGCGCAATCCAGATGGGTTCGCTGTGACGTAGGTACCTGTTGAGCGGCAGTTTGAATGTGTCAGGCTTGTGCGCTAGTTCATGGAGCAGAATCGTTATCTCAGTTTTGCTTCCGAGTTTCTACAAGAAGTTTATTACAACCTCAATGTATTCGGCATAGCTCTTCTTGGATTCTGCGGTGCCGTAAACAGCGCCTGCGTTGGCATTGAAAAGTCTCTTATGTACCAATATGTCCTATATTCAGGAAATAGTGAAAATGTCATGCCAGATGGGACGAGATGATTGAGAAGGAGGGTTCTTTGTCACATATCTTAGCATATGCCTTAAAGACTGTAAACAACATGAGATTAACAGTTAAGCCAGACTCTTTGCATTCAAGCAGTAGAGGTGTCTGTACGTGGCTATTCCAACAAGGCATGTTTCAATATGTATGAGAAATTCTCATGCGAGTTAAACATTCTCATGAATGTTCAGTGAAACAGGTGACAGAAATCTGACGATGGAAAGTATGAAAACGCAAGCGAAGAGCGTGACTAAGACTGTGTTCCTGATTAGATGTGGTATCAGCTTCCGTGCTGCTGTTGCCTCTACGCTGTTCTCCTGCCAGCACGACCCAACTTGTAATACTGCTGCGACGATTAGTGTTTCGACCACAACCACCACCAAGTCCACTAGTGGTCTTGGCTGATCTGCACACCAACGCCTCAGCAGCCCATCGTCGAGACGCCGGGGACGGAGGGAGTGGTCTTCACTTTTCAGCTCCCGGACAACACTTCGAGGGAGGCGCGCTGTTCCAGGGTCTAGGGCTGGGATTCGGATTAGAGCTGTAGGGTTTAGAATCGTTTACGGCTTAAGTTCAGAGGATACGTGCCACCTAAACCCTAACCCTAAACCCTAAAACAGAAGCCCTAAACCTATAGTCTCCAATGCAGAAAGCGGTCCAAACTCCGAAACCTGGAATAGCAGAAGCCCTCAACACATGGGGATGCCGGACGAGAGGCTCTCCGGTAAGTTCTTGGAATGGTTCCAAAATGCCTGGCTTTTGGAAGTTGATGGGATATTTGGGCAGCTCATTGCAAGGATCCCATTGATATAGGGTATACGGGTTTTGTGGCTTCAGGGCTTGGGGGAATCAGGGCTGCGTCACTACTCGCCATCTAAAATCCGGTTTAGGGTTTGAGAATGGGACATGCTGGAGACCCTGCTTCTCGAGCATTTTACGCGTTTTCGAGTGCCTTTTGACTGTTTTTTTGCTTGTGTGCTGCTGCAACGACGCAAACGAAAACTACACTGTTGATAGTTAGTTATGACATGGATTATCATTGCCATTGCTAGGTTCGCTTTACATATTGCTTCTGTTTTGCACATGTTCTTCCTTGTAGCATTTTTTGTGGCCAGTTTGTGGCTGTTGTTATTGATGTTGTTACTGCTGCTGTCGCTGTCTTTGCTTTTGCTCTTGATGTGTGAGTGAAAAGATAGCAACAGTAGCCTGACACTGAATGAGAGTGACCAGATAGTGAGTGATACTGCCGAAACAACCACCAGCATGTGCCACTGCACAAACATGCAGCGAGCTTGACTGGTTGCGGAAACCCCGGCATAGTCCGAACTCAGCATCTGCACGGGTTATAGTTCCGTCTCTAGGTGGTGGCATCTGCTGGGCCAGGAGTCAACAAACTGTGACGGTTTTCGTCACGGCAAGTGATACCCCAGGCGTTCAAACTCCCTACTGCCTGCCACACTTCTGCAGCTCCACGAAAAACGCCCCTGCACAAGCGGTGTTGTTTGTGGGCGCACGCGCGCAGTAATAGGGATAATGGTACGGCTCAGCACAGGGTCTGGGAGTCTCTGGAAGAAGAGCACGTGCACATCTCCTTGGTCCAGGTTACGTTCAAGGCGAAGCCATTGGGTTTGGATTTCAGCAAAGCGGTGCCCATGACCGTGAAAGCGGTGAAGAAGGACCGCCTCTGGGTTCGAGTTTTAAGGTTTAGGGTTTAGGTTCGGGGTTGAGGGTCTAGGGTTTAGCTTCAAGGCTATAGGGTTTAGGATTTAAGTTCAGGACTCTCTGCTGTAGCTTCTTTGAGGCCTTGATATACGCGTACTTCTCAAAATTCCTGAATTTTTGAAGTCAGATACAAGCAGTCCTTTGTACTTCTTGAAGTGTAAAGGAGGGCTTCACAGAGGCTTAAGTCTGCCGAGGCTTCCTCGCGGGGCGTGGGTGCCGGGGATGAGGGTTTAGGGGTTTCGGGGTTTAGGGTTTAGGGGTTTAGGGATGATCTCTGGAGCCTTCGGGAAGTTTCAGGTTTCAGGGCATAGACGTAGGACGGAATCGTACAGCAATAGTGTCCTCTTATCGTGCACCTCTACCTATACTTATCGTATACTGTGCCCCCAAAACCCTAATCAAGTTCATGAGGAAGGCGCCTCTCCATAAGGGCTGTTGATGGCTTCCAGCGCCCCGAATTGAGGAATCAGGGATCCCGACAACAGATCTGGGTCTGACCCTAAGCCCCAAAACCCTTGACACCATGCTCACAAGCCCAAAATCCGATGCCCCAAACCTAGAATCTCCATAGCAAGGATTCCTTCGCAGACCAGCTCCAAATCCAGCCCAAGTGGATCATCACACATGCCGGGACCCTGGAAAGAGCCCTGAGAATGCAGGAGTTTGGGGTTTGATGTTAGGGTTTGACTTTTCAGTGTGATTCAGCTGTTTCTCGGCATTGTGATAACCGTAACACTGTATGGTGACCGCACTACCTTCCTTCCCATGCAATCACCGTCTGAACGCCTTAAGATGCTGCCATTGCCAGCATGTGAACGAGTACTCTTATAGTAACAACCCTTAGAGTACCCCTATCGTAACCCTTATAGCAACTCTTCTAGTAACGCTGGCGGGCTTCAGACTCGAAAAAAGTTAAGTATGACTCCCTCATAACTATTCCTGGTTACCAATAGACTAGGTCCCACCAGACTGTTCCAAATACTTAGGGCCTTGTCCTTCCTGTTCCCACCTCTCCAAAGACTATGCAGGCTTATCCGATTGAGGCGCATGGTCACGTCTTCATGTACAATTTGGATGGTGATTTGTGACCTCGCGTTTGATGTTATGGCGCCTTCCTTTGGTGCTGTTGGTTGTTGACCGCCGTTGAGATACTAGTGGAGCTTCGAGAATCCCGGCGGTACTCTGTTGGAGCAGAAGGACAGCCATCTATCAAAGCAGCCCAAGCTCCCACGATTCGAAATATCAACGATACAAAACATCCGGAAACCTCGAAACCCCCAAGCCCCAGAGCCCCGAAACCCCCAAACCTGGAGCCCTAAGCCTTAGAAAAGCAGTCCACTCCCTGAAGCCCAATCCTTCAGTGCAGTTTCCTGAACACCCTAAGGCAAGCCTCCCTCATGGCATCGCTAGTAGCCCTATTCGTAACCCTATCGGTAAGCCTGGTTTTAGCTTGCCAGGTCCAACGCAAGCCGATGCCGGTGGAGTTGAGAGATGCCATGAAGACCATTTTGCAACCCAGACACGCAGGTGTTAGGTGTTCAGGGTTTTGGAGTTTAGGGTTTTGGCACTTGGCTTATCTGGGCTTCACATGACCAGAAATTAGCGTTTCCCCTCCATACATAAAGAACCCTTATAGTACCCTTATAGAAGCCCTATAAGAAACCCTATCCCTTGTTTTAAGGACCCTCAAAGGGGATCCTCCAGTAGCATTCTGCTAACCCTGTCCCGACGTAGTACATTTCAGCGCAGCCGAGACCTCGATTTCCCTGGGCCCCCGTGCCTTATATCCCATGGCCCCCTGTGGTTTAGGCAACTGGGGTCCTGGAGCTCCAACTGTATTTAAACAGGTTCCTTGTTGGATACAATTTTCCATTTTTGTTATAGTAAAACCTTAATAGGTTTAATAAGGATGAAAAGAAGGATCATTTTCTATATGGCCCCAAGAGGGAACCAGTAAACCTGAGCTTGTTTGAAAACTGTCGTTGGGCGATTGGGCCCTTAATCCCTCAGGTTGAATAACGCTAAACCGGGTCGAGGCTTGAGCTACCGCAACTTTCTTCAGGGGGCTGCGTGTGCATGCGCTTTTGCTGGGTGTGTTTCGTGGGGAAGGTGGTTAGAGTGTATGGCTTCGGAGCCTCAGGATCGTGTCTAGGGTTTACCGTTGTGCAGGGTTCGGGTATCCGCTGCTCATTTTCGACCAAGGGGATGCAATTTTCCGGCTCGGGCTTGTAAGAATAAGGAGCCCCGATACCGAACCTCGAAGTAGTCACCCAAGCAAGCATCTCAATTCTGCTGGACAGCCAAGGCAAGAAGTGAAGGACTGACGGCAGGGAGTCTTACAACTTCCCCGACCACTAGCCGCAACCTCCATCCACCTTGGACCCCTGTGCCCTATGCTGTTGGGGAGCGCAACCGATCGATTCCTGGATTAGGGTGAGGAGTGAAGGGCATACATGGCCAGAGATGCAATTGCGTCCGCATATGGGGGCTTTGGACTGTCGAGTTTGCCCGGGATTTGGGAGTCAAGGTTGGGCTTTGGTGGCAGAATCAGAAGGTGTCGGTGCTGCGTTGTTCCTAAGGTTTCATCGCAGAACACTGCATAGCACAGCCCTCTCTCCATGACTTTAGTCCCACCAGGGTCTTTGGTAGAAAGGCACGGACTTGGGAACTTACGTTGTATGACCGCAGCGGAGACTGCCACGTGTCAACTGGCTCAACCACCATAGCTTGTGTCGAAAGGTGCATACTGACCCGACAGATACAATATCCCGATAGCCCTCAAAGCGCATGGACGGCAAGGACTTGCCTCAGCAGTGAGCACTAGAGCACAAGCGGCGTGCGCCAAGCGAAGCCGGACGAAGGGTCAGGAGTAAGTATCCCGCTTCTTCCTTGTCTTTTCGATCTATTGTTTGCGATAATAAGCAATCAGAATCCTTGCCAGTGCTCTCGTACACCTGGTTCTTAGTAGCACGAATACGATGGTTGGTTGGGCTTTCCGGCTGTTATGCTAGTAGAGTTGTTCAGCGACTTTTTCGTGATCATGAATGTTGCTGCTTGTGGTACGAATGAATACTGATTTCTTGTGCGGGCTCAAGTTGTATTGTTCAGCCTGAATTTGGACGTTTTTGAATTCGGGGCTTAGGTGTTTAAGCATTTACGAGTCTAACAGTCGTGGGCTTACGCTGCGAAAAACCTTCTAACCCGGAAACCAGTGCTACTTGCTCGCTATTATGGTCACTATTGGGTGTAAGTTAAGTCAAAATCAGACATCGTAGCATGCTGCAAGCCGAAAACCTGCCTTTGAATGTTTTGACCAGGGTTTTCATAAACATGTAGGTCATGCGACGCAGAGCATGCTTCACTAGAAGCTCGTCCTGCTTGCGTAGGGTTCTAGGCCCAGGACCCTACGCCGCTGCATGCACACCCTCTGGGGTTTGGGGATGCAGGGGAGTAAATTGGTTTTGCGGTCTTGGATTTTTCCAGCTTTCGATGTGTAAGGAAGTGATTGTAGGTGCGGCTTCTGTAGGCCTGTGGTGGTCAGGCTGAGGATAGGTATAGCGATAATTCTGAACATCCACGGCAGGCCTGTTTGCTAGGTGAACCGGCGTAGGGGGGTTGTGTTTGAAGCGTGAGGGCTCAGGGGTTATGGCAGAATCGTTCTTAGTGCAGTGATTTTGTGATGGCCGGAGCGTCTAATCTCTACACTCGCGAGATAGGACTGGCACCCTCCTGCTTCCCGCGCTGCCACGGACTTGTACACTTGCCCTTTTTGCAAACATCCCTTGAGACTAGTTGCTGGAAGGATTTTCCACAGAATCCCTCTGCAGTCATGCCTTCTACGCGACCAGAGCTGACGGATGCGAGGTTAGTATTCTCTCAGGCTCTCAAAACATCGGCATTTACGCGTGGAGATGCCTCTTTTGGATGTTGGCTGTCGTAAGTTGGAAAGCAAGGAGATTGCAATACTGCGCGACCCTTGAAGCCATGAACTTTAAGCCGATTCCGCAAGATTTGCAGAGGGAGTTCGATTCCTGTGATCGATGTGCGGTGGGACTGAGTGGTATGGCGGCTTCGAGGAATGTCTGACTAGCTTGGGGTTAGGTCCGGTGCTATCTGCGCGCTTAAGCATTGAGCTTTGTCATGGCTAGCGGCTAGCTTAGCTCAGATGATAAGGTTCACCTTCAGTTTCAATTTCAGTTCTCCGCCATTTCTCAATTGCCTCAACCTTCGTTCACACTGCGGTGACAAGTTTTCAACTGACATCAAAGGTGTCAAATGCCCCCGATGAAGGCCCATTGATGACCAAGGTCCACACGAAGGTGTGAAAATCGATGCTCCGGGTTGGCTGGAATAATCTGCTAATATCTGCTAGAAATACACCCCTCCCTATATGTTGGTATTTTGTAACATACCCCCAACCCCTCATTCAAAGCAGTAATATCTACCATGGAAGCACTCCCCTGAAGGCGCTGAAGATCTCCTAGCCTCCATGTGCCATCAACATAGAAGACCCAGAAGATAGGGGCCTGCATAAGTTGCAACAGCATTTAGGGTGTAGGCTTCAAGGTTCAGTGTAGGCTTTAAGGTTCAGGACAGGTGTGGCTTAAGTGTGGCGGACTTGAGCAGGACCCCCAATCATATCATGCCTAGCCGAACATAAACCCAATCAGCTCAAGCCCACATCGTAAGCCTTATACTTTTTTCAGACCTGAGCCCGGGAATCCCGAAACCAAGCCGTGACAGCAGAAATCACAGGCGTGTCAGCCACATGGGTTCGTGCTTAGCTGCCGGGGGGTTCGATGTTCTAAGATTCATCAATCCCTGCATGGACAGGCGGAGTATGCATCGACCCCTTTCTGTAGATCAGAGGCCCTCTACACCCTAACACCCAATCTCTTGAAAACCCTAAGACCTGAAAACCCGAAACGGCCCTAAACCCCACTTTATCAGTTCTCCCAGCAAGACTTCCGATTTAACCGGCCTCTCCTCCTGCCACTGACCTTGCCGAGAGCCTAGAAGCCAAAAGGCTGGTACCAGATAGCATATGTCCTATAATACAGGTTATGGAATATGGAATATGGAACCTATGGTGATGTAGAGCACGAAATCCGAACATATAAGAAAGTTTGTGCCAGGTAGCAAGTCTTGAAGACTAGATACTGGCAAGTCTAAGCTGGTAATCGGAATGTGCTCATATGGGACTCTCTCCGAAAATTAGGGTACCTTATTTTGGGGTCCTTATGATAAGGATCCTACTAATTAGGGTACTATATTAGGGTCCCCTATTTTCGGAAACGCCCATGTGGAATCATATGGATTTAGGCATCTCAGACCTTCCAAGCAGCGTGTTCGCTCAAGCTTGTTCGCGCTTCTACTCCCGATTCCGCGTCTGGAGTCATGCTGCCTGGTGTGAAATAGACATGGGCTCAAGTGATACTGTTGATGATATAAATCCTGCAGTACCCATATTCAGGAATATACCATAATTACTTCCCATAGTTTGGGGTCATTAAGGTAATGCAGGGTTTATATCATCAACCGTAGAGTTCTCAAGGAGTCCCTAGCAGGGCCCTAGAAAAGCAGACATCATATCTCAACAGCTAGCTTATATCGAGCCCTGACTTTGAGCATCTGCCGCGGTTTGAGGGGCACTTCAGGATCTGGGCCTCGAATACGGGGAACTCGGATAGAAGGTCCACAGTGAAGCCCTTTAGGATCCCCAACGACGTCACAGAAGAAAAGTACCAAACGACTTTAAAACCGTCTCGAAGAGTTGGCTTTGGCCCTGAGCGACTTTTAATAGCAGGGTGTTCGCGTTTTCGAGCACAGAGTTCAAGGATGAGGACTGTAGGGTGTGGGGAATTTCGAGGCTAGGATGCATCGCCTCCAGCTGCAGGCACACAGTCAACATCTGCAGAGCATGTTTAGGGCTTGAGGCTTGGGTGTAGGCTTTAGGGCCTTTGGGGTGAGTTTTGGATGCCTTCGTGGAAACCATTTCTCGAAACCGCCTGCGCATGCAGATCTAACTTCTGGAAAAGCTTGTCAGTCAAACTCCTGGCGCACCCCCAAACCTAAACCCCAAACCCTAAACCCTAAACCCCAAACCAATAATCTTAAAATGCTGAGGCCCATTTCGTAGAGCCCTGAAGCACCTCCAAGACCAAAGCCCCCAGAGCCTGCAACTCTGATCCGCAAGCCAGGGTTTAAGGTTTAGGGTTTAGGGTTTAGTCCCTAAATACTCCAACCCCGTGAACCCTGAACGCTTTGAAGCATCACGTCCTTACAAAGGGCTTTCTGCGCTTGCTGCGCCGCGGAGTGCCTAGGGCAAGCCGGCGGTGACTTCAGGGTCTGTGGGGCATACTACTGCGATTAGGCTCTGAGGGCCTGTCTTGAGAATGTAGGGTTCAGGGTTTCATGTCCAGGTCAGAGCTTTGGGGATTATGGTTTTGTGGTATTGGGGCTTGAGCTTCGTAAGGGCTATCTCAGCCTCCCAGACCCCGAACAGCCAAAGCCTCTCGAAGGAAGGAAGAGCAAATGCGGGTTGAGGGTTTGAAGGTGACCTCAATGCCTAGATCCCAAAAACTCTACCTGAACGGGGGGCAAGATAAGGTTTAAGGGCGCAGGCTTGTTTGCTCGAGCTTACTCACAGCTTCCAGCAGGGCACGTGCTCGGCTTGAACCGAATATAGTAATGACCATTACAACCCTAATTCAGAAAACCCTGAAGGCCTAATCGACAAATCTTGAAAGCCCTGAAGCCCTGAACGATGACCTCGTGCTCGCAGCTATGCTGCGGAGAAAAGTCACAGGTCCAAAAGGCCGTGCACCTCCTCCCTAGCTCGCATGATGTATTGTAGGGGCCTAAATATTTGGAATGGGGTTTTGGGGTATAGTATACCAAAATTACAATAAGGAACCACCAAAATAGTATAGGTAATTGTTTAGACCCCTATATTAGGGTTCCTTGAGGTTGTGCTTCCTCCTGAGGAAGCCTATTTCAAAAGCCGGTCCGACCCCATCTAGACAGGCAGCCTACAACGCCTTCTAAACTCAAGATTCAAGATAGAACCCTTTATTAAAGCCCCATCAAGCATGAAAGCCACACACACATAATCCCGGGTTCTGACTTACTCAGCCCCCGAACCCGAGACTTCCGCAAAAGTCCCGAGGACCGAGGGGGTGGTGGAAGAAGTTCCCCCAGCCACCGCCGTGGCGGTGGCGGAACCTCCCAGGGCTAAGGCTAAGGCTCAAGCACTTAAGGGCTGCTTTTGGCTTTTTGTTTAGGGTTTAGGGTTTCGGGTTTGGGGGGCTTCGGGGCCTCGTCGGGTCCTTGAGACTCCCACAGCACGGGTGAGTTAGAGCTCCCTGTGCCGGTGGGGCAGGGATTTAATCAATAGCGTCTTAGGAGTTCAATGGTTTGGGCTCTGGGGGCCCGTAGTTGAAAGCGAAAACGGTGCTTAGGGTTTCAGGGTTTAGGGTTTTAGGGTTTAGGGTGTTTAGAAATCAGGGGATATGAGCCACACGAGCTGCTCCGAGAGCTCTCAAGACACCCCAACAAAGACTACATCATAAAGCCGCTCATCTATGACTACGAAAGCCTTTCAGCCCCAAATGCGAACCTTTTAAGCCATCGGTTGACAGTTTCATAATTAGGGGACCTTAGCAATTATAGGCCCCAAGCAATGGCCTAAATCGAAGCCTGTTTAAATCCCTTATACACACTTCTCGCAGCTGGTAAGAGCCCTATAACACCCATACTTACAAGAGTTCTCTTTGCAATATTGCAACAAATAAGACTACAAAACCATGCGACACCCG